TAAAGTCCAAGAATAATATGCAACGGATGTGTTCTTTGGGAGGCAGGTGAATCTTCATATCCAAATCCAATCTCAATAACACTGTTTTTTTTTTCAATAACACTATTAAAAATGAACTGTTGGCCACTATTCCAGTACTCCTGAGAGTACTGATATGGATTATAACTTGTATTTGTCTATTCACTAACTTACTCAGAAGCAACCTTGGATATATCTGGATACACTGGTAATAGATTCAGGTATTACATAAGGTCCTGAATTTATATTAGTCTATCTAGAATGTGCCATCCTGCTTATGGACTGCTGGAGTTGCCACATTTCCTCCCCGTTTCCCAAACATTGGTGTCCAAATGCTGTTATAATTCACCCCTATCATCTCATTCAAATCAATTAACAGTTTTTCTAGAACAGTCAACATGAGCTTCCAAAGATTACAAGAAATACCCCCGACTCTTCCAAACAGAAACCCAAATATTATAGGCTTCTTACTGTTCTTTGTTCAGGGCACTGAGTAACATTTGCAATCTGGAACCTCATAGCCTTTTGTACTAGGGCATTTTTGAGAATTGATTCCAGGTTTTATGGTCCTTTGTCTTCATTTTTTCTGACGGGAGATGGAGGATGACAGTTCTGCAAGAAGCTATTAAGCACCACTGCTTAATGACCCAAGTCTAGGGTAACTTTTTCAGGAAGTTAAAATTGTTGGAAACATCTGCTGCATCACAGAGAATCTGGGGAGATTATCTAGGTCACTGGTGAAGACTTTGAGATAAACTTACAGTAAATACAGAACTATTGTAAGCTAAAAAGAGACAATTATTAGCTCTAGGTGAAAACCAAAGTTCTGTAGGAGAGAAGCACAATATTTACCATTTGTTCCAGCTGAGAAGAGTGTTGGCAAAGTCATAAAAACATAAACACCAAATACTGAAATAACTCAATTTTAATACAAATCTTTTGGAAGGGTGGGCACATGAGAAAGGTGTGGTGAGTTCATGGAGAAGAAAGCATCCACATCAGTAAATAATGTCTAAAATTGAAAAAAAAATCTAGTGATATAACCTGCTCTTCAGAAAAGTAGCAAAAAACAAAGTAATTGGAGGAAGTGAAATCTGTTGTCTCAATGGAGGGAAAATGTGAAGGGCGAGAAACAACATTTTTTTTCCCAAAAACCCCTCATACAGCACTTTGATTTTGAACTACATGCACTTCGAAAATGCACTGAACGTTGCATTGATATTGAAGTTATAAAGCCTCAGTGGTTTGAATTTTTTCTACATTTAACTCTTTATGTTAATATTATTCCTCTTAGAGGACTTTTTCCTAATATTCTTTGATGGCAAATAAAACTAATGATGGTGAAACACTGCACTTTATTCATTCAAACAACAGAATTCAGTATGTCAAGGACATTGAATGCCTTACAAAACCAGAGAATCTGAAATTACACATAAAAGTGGAAAAAAATGTTCTACACAGGGTGATTATATTACTCATCATTCAAACAGGGACAATAGGCAATACATGGGAATTACTGCAGACATTCATCACACAGATCCCCAGATTAGGTCTTTTATGACCACCCCTTCCAACACAGTTAGTGCTTTGAATCTGAAATACTATGTAAACCAACCTTGAAGATTTGTAAAATTCCCTTAGAAAGTATTGCAGCAAATTCTAGAAGCCACAGCTCTACATATGAGTCATGAGCAATAGAAAAGTTTTTTAAAATGCTTGATTTTATGTTTCAGATAAAACTGTAAGAGCCCAGAGACTTGACTTAAAATAATTCCAGTGAAATGACCAGTGGAAACATATATTAATTTATGCAAAAGCCTGAACATGAAAGTCAACACTTTCTAGGCACTATGTTCTAATAGTGGCCAAACTAATGGTGATACCTGTGTTATAAGTTGGCATCACTTTATATTTCCCAAAGATGTTTTTTCACTATTGTGGAAAGAAGCTAAAGATTGTATTCACAATTAAGTGCCTCTATCTGAACTTTATAAACATTGAGTTCTGCAACAGCTCCAGTCTTGCTGAAATGTCATACAAGCAGCACAGAATATAGCACATTATTATAAATCGAGGAGAAGCACGTTGATTACAGCAATTTCTACTTACAATGTGGACTCTACCGGTTTGGTGAATTACTGTAATACAGCTGCAGATGTGACTTAAGATAGTTCTATATAAATCAACATAACTTGAATATTTACAATGAAAGTAAACCTACTAAAATTATTTTTATCTTCCTTTGACTTGTAAATTGATAGCCAATGTATTTTAAATGTATACATATAATATTTTAGTAATAAATTGACTTCCTTAAAAATCCTACAAATGTAATATTTACTAACTAAAGAATATAGCTTCATCTGCTGCCTCTCATCCATAAGCATAATTACAAGCTAATGAAATTTCAATTCTATTTTCTCAGTGTGCATAAAGGCCTTTAAATAATGTCTCAATTCTCAAGGTCTCCCTGATGATAATAGAATCAATACCTAGTCATCGTAGGTTAATGGCATGTGTTCTTTCCCCAACAAAACTGCACACTCTGTAATGACATTTAACAAACTTACCTAACTTGTCATCACACAGCAATTCCCTTTAATCGGTTACTTTCATGTAAATATTCAAATGTACATTTATGGCATTCAAAGGAAACATAGATTTTTATGTAATATATTATATATCATCATAAATTATATATGTAAAAGAGAATGCAAGGAAACATCTTGCTCCCTAAGTAGCACCTTTCAAAAAAGATTTAAAACATAATTTAATTCAATTCTGACCTTTTATTCTGTGGAACAATTTTGATTGGTTTCCTTAGTACAACAGATTAGGGGAAAATACACACACACACATAAGTGTGTGTGTGTGTAACACATATACACACACAATATACTATACATACCATGTATTATTTCTATAGTAGGTGTATATATATATGAGAGTTATAAAACTCTAGCTAATTAGGAATAATGTTGAACAGACAATAATGAAAGTGCTTCATTAGTAAGTAAAGATGTCCAGGGAAAGAGCCTTAGTGAGTAGAATTTCATCAGCATGAACAGCTGAGAGTGTAACAGGACCAGTGGTGGGGTCAGTGGGGGGTGCAGAGAAATTCCAACAGGACTAAGAAGAGTATTAAATGCCTGAAAAATCCTGAGCTCTGCAGAGGAGGAATACATGAAGAAGAGGGACAGAGGATATAGTTCTCATAAATATTCTGAGTGACAGATTAAAGAAAAAGCAAAACATGCATGGGAAAAGAGACCGGTTTTAAATGGTCTGCAGGCTCTGCTGTAGAATCCTCCATGAGGGAAACTTCCAGGACAGTGGCATCTGGTTGTACTTTGTACCCGGCACCCCCCCACACCCCATCATCTTCTCTGTTCAAGTGGGATTTTCATTTCCCCATATTGCATTGGTAGAAATGCTTTCCTCCTCACCCATATTAGTCACTGAGAATTTGGAAATACCTCATGAGAGTGGACATTTTTGCTTTTTCTCTTTTGAAGCCGGCAGGGGCACCCACAATTTCTGCGATTCACAGAATCATTGCTCTATTGGGTGCACACAGTAGTTAAAGCTATCATCATAAAATATCCATTGACTCACTTAAGACTGTAAATTGCAGCTTCAAATCTGCCTAGATACCATGAAAATTTGGTTTTGGTTCACTTAAAATTATCATAAAAACCTACAACCTTGAATCTTACATGCAATTTTTGTGGTGAATGTTTTAGAGATGAGTAATAAATATTTGAGACATGAATGATCACTCTCTTTGGTAATGACCACTGTGGTTTCAAGGTGATCATGATCCTTATTTAGCTTCAGAACTACTTTTCATTGTGTGACCCCATCTAGAATGTGGACAATGGCAGGACAGCCACTAACTACTGTGTATTGACATCACTACGGTTGTCTTTGGCCAAACTGTAAAGGAAGACAAAGTTCTCTCTGTATCTTCCCATTCTTTGTTCCCTGTTCCTCCTTCCTTATAGGCCTCCAAAGTTCCTCCCCGTCATGTTTCTACCATAACCCAAACCACACTTGCAACTAACATTCTTTTTCTTATATTCAGATTTCCCATAATTATTAAAAAAGAAAAACAACTGATAATGCCTAGATGCCTGACTCTTTTGAGAGACTTCACATATTTAAAATAGTTCTCAAAAGTGGAAAAATTCAATATCAAAAACATGAAGTTATTATTGGACCATGTACTACACTTGCTCATAAAGCTAAGCCAGAGAGAGTGGAAAGAATTCCAGGCAGAATCAGGGATTCCTTCATTTGATAATAGAAAAGGAAGAGATTTCCGTGTTCTATTTGTCTTCCTCTTGACCATTCATTTATTTCTGCTGCCAACTACTCTTCTGGACTATGCTGATAGAGCAGATTTTAAAGTGGGGGGAGAGAGCGCTAACCCAGATCCATCCACATGTTCTCTTCTCAGTTGGTCAACATTATGTTTGGAAATGGCTTGCAGTCCACATTTGTCGGTCACCAGCCAACATCTCCCCATCTCCCTCCTCTAATGATACTCTGAATTCCCTGGTAATGTGCTTTGGCCTCAGTCCTTGTTCTAGAGGTGAACCCTTAATTTACTTAAGCCATTTCATCCTTTCCAGTCATGATGGCTGTTCAATGATGGTCAAATAACCGATTCCATTTACTTTATCAGAGAAGTAAACTCTCTACCAGGCAGAAACAAGGATTGCGAATCGCCAAGAGTGGCTGGAAACACAAGGAAACACGTGAATAAGAGTTAGGCTAACACCAATACAGTGGATCCAACACCACAAAAGGAGACCCAGAAACAGGTTTATGCCCATACTTAATCCAATATGTGACATTTAAACCTTCGGAAATAACTCTTGTCTGAAGCTGGATCCCCCCTGGATTGTTCCATTACGTGACTCAGGGAGTTTCCCCTTACGTATATACTAATGAGAATCGGGGTTTCTGAAACATTTCTGTTAAGAATGTTCTTCAGGTTATAAGGTATTTTTCCTACCAAATTAAATAAATGTAGCCAACTAGTATCCAGGGTAGGCACCGAGTAGTGGGAAAAAAATAATACAAAATAGTCATCATAAATCTGCTCAGCTCAAGGAAAATGCTCAGACTCTGGTCTTTGGCCTCTGAGAGAAGGCTGGGTAGTTGACATAAATATCCTCTCTTGCGCCATCCGATGACTGGTTGGTAGAGTCGGGATTTCTGTAGTTGTTGGCTGCCTAGAAAGAGACAGAATGTCAACGATTCACTGCATTTCAGCAGCCAATAAAGATACTCAAAACCAATCTCTCCTCAAACGGACCACAGTGTAAGTCAAATTTCTATTATAATTAATCTCATAAAACATGCCTTTCATTGTACTGAACTTCTATGAAAAATCACATTTTTGACTTGCTGGGCTCAGAGTAAGGCGCAGCAGGAGGCTATTCCAGATTGTCACTTGGCTGTATTAGACTATGAAACACTTAGTCTTGGAACTCTTTCCCAATATCCCGGGCTGTTTTGATAAGAACTATCAGTCTCATTTTTATATGGGAGTCTAGTATAGTATTTGCCATAGTGGGTACTCAGTAAATTCTTTTGAATGAATGCCTTAATAAATAATACTTTCAAAGTACAGTGTCATGTCTTGACAACAAGCAACTAAATGCAATAAAAGAAATTAACAAAACATACTGGCATTACTTTCAAGATGATGTCATATACTCATTAACATTCTCTACACTAATCAAGTCACTGTGACCACCTACACATGTATGTGGCAGAAAATATATAACCATGGGTGAGACAGAGAGAAACTGAGAGGAAAACAAGAGGAAGAGAGAGGGGGTCTTTTGGTGAGTACTTTGGAAATTGAGAGTGGTTTTGGTGCTTACAAAGAAAAAGCAAAAGGTAAGGTGCAGTTCCATCGGTAATTCCAGAGCCTGCTGAAAACCCCAAAACAATCAAGTAGGTCAGTTTCTTTCTCTTTCACAGTCCAACTTACTTTCTTTCTAATCATCGTTCAAAATATCGTTACTCTACCAAAGTCTGAACAAGTTGAATACTTAATGTAGGAAGTTGCAAAGCTCCTTCCCTCCCCTGACATTCACAGCAATAAATGTGGCTTTATATTGGCTCTAGTGGACAATGGTGAAGGACAAAGAAGGGACCCCAACACTGCGTAGGACAGCACTGTTGCATCACTTGCTGGAGTGGTAGATGAGACAAGGCGAAGACTTCTTTAGTCTTTCCAGTTACTGTCAAAAAGCCAGACATGAATTATTCAGAAAAAAAATTTTGTTGTGTACAGAGTAACTAATAGAAGAAAAATTTAAACTGAGAAATAAATAGGTAACAGAAATCTGAAGCACACATATTAGATTGTCAGAAAAGTTTTATTACTTGATGTTTTGGTCATAATAGAATTCAATTGCAAATAAGTAAACTGAAGAGAAATTTATGTAATTTTAGATAACACTTGGGGAAATGTTTTGCTGTAAGATTGTGTAAACAGGGGTGCCTGGGTGGCTCAGTCAGTTGAGCGTCTGACTCTTGGTTTCAGCTCAGGTCGTGATCTAAGGGTCATGAGATAGAGCCCTGCGTTGGGCTCCATGCTCAGTAAGGAGTCTACCTGAAGATTCTCTCCCTCTCTCCCTCTCTCTCTCCTATACCCTTCTCCCACTCTCTCTCTCTCTCTCTTTCCTTCTCTCTCTAAAATAAATAAATCTTCTAAAAAAATTTTGTAAACAGAATCATATATGTTAAAGAGAGAATCTGGCCAATAGTGGAGACAATGAGCATGAAAGTAAGACAAACTATTTCAAAGGGCGTCAATAATAAGAGAATAAGTCAGAGAACAGGTGTTTCCTCAAATAGCCGATCTACTACATGGCCAGGGAATTGTGAGGAGAACAAAATTGTCGACTCCAAGATGGACTGACTTTACAGGATATTACAATGCACAAAAGGGGGGAAAAGACAGCTCTGAGAAAACTTACCTTATTCTGTGCATCACAGGAGTCTTTAAATAGTTTCTTCTGACTCCTTCTCCTGAGAAGACATATTCAGTAGAGGCATTAAGATCTACACCCCAGCACTAGGATTACTGCATATAGTCACACACCTTACTTGTACCCCAGCCTACATGCCCTCACTAAAGATGTTGAAGTTGCTTCACACACACTTACTCAAAATTCCCTTAACCTAATTCTTCACTTTCCACAGATGGTAAAGGCATCTAAATGGATATCCAGCCAGTGTATATTAGTAATTAATCTCAACAGCTTACTAAAGAATGGTTCATAGTAGGTTATTGCATAAATGGCTTACTGCCTTTTCCAAATAACCTTGAGCTTAGAGATTGCCCACAATTAAAAACTTCCTTTTCAATGCCAACTGTGTAACTTCTTGAATGACCGTGATAATAGAGTTAAGCTTTAGAGAAACTTTCAGGTGTTTTACTAGACCTCCTCAACGGATTATTTTATGTAGCTTTCATCAAAAACTCTGTCTTTAACTCAGATTGGGAACCAAAGGCAAGAGAGGAAAAGTAACTTGCCCTACGTCATGTGGTTGGTTAGTGGTAGTATCAGGATTTGAATCTACAGTCTTCCTTCATGACTATCAGGCTCACTACTTCTGGAGCCATGATGCCACAGTTCCTTGGGCCATCTGGAGCCATGCTACTCTGTAAACTCTCCACCATTCCAGTGAAAACTATAAAACCTAATGTCAGGAGGAATCTTTGAAAATTCAAGAGAAGAAGAAAAGAGGCCACGATAACTGAACATGCACTAGACAAAAGGACTCTACCCCAAGTGCAGGAAGATATATTACAGGAGATGACGACTATCTTTTTTTCACCCCCCTACAAAAAAGACTTTTATCAGACCACAGAGGAGATGGGTTAGATGCAAAAACGTAGGGTTTTTTCCCTTTATGCAAAAAGATGAAGTTGTAATTCCTTCACGGAAAGTTTAAGAACCAGCCACGCTTGTTGCTCTCCAAGGAAAGGTTATTCAGATGATGGATGCTGTTCTCTCCTCGTTGCTGGGAAATCCTCCTACTGTGTCGACATCATCACAGATTGATCTTACTCTGTGTGTATCTGTTTACTTTTGAAGAATCTTTTATGCAATGAATTTATTTAAATTTTTGATGTGTAAGTTTGTTATGTGAAGGTGATATTTCCAGGTCTTCCACATAAATTATTTACTCCTCAAAAGAAATCTGTGATGTAGATGCTATTACTGTCCTCTTTTTACAAATGAAGAAACAAATCTACAACCTTGGAATCTTTTGTTAGATCATTGTTCACAAGGCTTGTTGTATCATAATATAGATTAACTTTCCCAAAGAGGTCCAAATAAGCATATTGTTTGCATAAGCCTAGAATATTCAATATAATGAAGAAAAGAGAACAAGAAACTTAGAGTCAGATCCTCTGTGTTTAACTTGTGCTTGGCAATTTACCAGATATTTGCACCTATAAAATTCAGTCTTCTCCTCTGTAAAATAAAGATGGTGAACACTGTGGTGTGTTCTAGGTTGACTGGCCATTCTGGTTTGCTTGATTTTAAGGAGTTTCCCTGGAATGAGGGATTTTCAGTGCTGAAGCTGGGAGAGTCCCAGGCAAAGTAAAAGAACCCATTTGTTGTGAACATCAAAGTTGACAACAAAGGGAAAAAGAAGGGTCTAACGTTTTGCACACTAAACATTACATTTCTTCTTATAGACACACGCGTCAATGTGTAGACTATCTTTTGGCTCCTGCCACACCTAACCAATGCTATGCACGTCCACCAACCACTTAATCACCCTTAACAACATGACCATTCTGATCTCCAACTGGAAGCAACACAAACTGAGAGCAGAGAAGGTGCGGGAAATGCCCCTGGACACACAGGCTCCGGGGTACTAGGTGTGAAGGAAGGACTCGGTTTCTTTCAGGCACACTGTGGTTTCCTTTGGCTTCTCCCCAGGTCAGCACATCTGAAGCGGCAGGATTATTTTAAATGGTCACAAAGACCGAGTTCTAAAGACCACTGTTTAAGCCTTTGGGTCATTTTTCATAACATTTCCATTCCAAGTAAGCACCACAAACTGATACGGGCAACAAGGTAAGAAAGAACAAACACTTCTTCCTTTGCGATGTTCTGCCGTGATTATGCATTCAAGTCCACTAATCTTTTTATCGCGTTTAACCAAGTGGGACAATATAGTCTACAGTTCAATTTAGCTATTCATGTAAAAGTGATGCATTTTCATGAAGCTAAATCCATCATGTCCAACATCTGTGACCCTCCGGAGATCTGTGCTGTCACTCACTCTCCCCTACCATGTCACCCGTGTTCCCGCGTGCTCCTGCTGTCACAGCTGCCCTCAGTGCATTTTTCATCAACTAGGGTGAAGCAGTAGAAAATTCCTTAGTGTCACTAACATCCTGGATTCCTTCCCTCAGTTTGCTAATTTGCTCAATTTCCGACCAGGGAAAGACTTGACGGCAGCCCGTGATGGAGAGAAAGGGAAAACGACAGTTCTGTGTTTCAATTTAATTAGACAAATGCTGATTGACCATTCATTATTTGGAAAGATTAGTGCTAAATGCTATCAAGCACTAATAAATGAATCAGACACGTCCCTGTCATTTTGAACAGAAGGGAGGAGAGCACAGAAAGGATGACGCTATAAAGCAGGCCACAAGTAGCAACAGAGAAGTACAGTGGCTTCCAGATGATGACATCATGTCTCTTTGCAGGGAGGGAGAACCAGGACAGACCTCCCAAAGGGGACATGGGTCCCACGCCTTGAATGAGCCACAGGAGTGAGGCCAAACATGGGGGAAACAGCGTTTTGTTAGCTACTCAAATGGGAAGGGAGTCGGGTATGTTCATAGAGTAAGACTTGCAGTTTTAACAAAATTTGTCAGTAATGTAGCAAATATAAATGAGCATTAGGTTGGGGCCCCACTAATTAGGTGGAAGTCAAGACAGTGGGCGCCTTTGATACGGGTTCATGAGTTTTAACATTATTCTCGTGGCAACAGGAAGACAAGAGAAGGTGTTAAACAGGAAGGACACCATCAGTCTAGCTTTCAGAAGAGCAACCAGGAAAAGTCAGATGTGTTCGAAAGAAAGAAAGGAGACAGCGGGGGCAGTAACTAACCTCCAGTGAGCTGTAATACCAGCTCCAAAGAAGTGAGGCCGGGATATGGAGACGAGATAGAAAAACCTACCTGATATCCTATTAATATGCATGTATGTGCAATGTGAGTGTGGTGCATGTGTGTGTGTGTGAGAGTTTGTGTTTGGTAATACTGCTGGGATGGAAGAGAAGAGGCGGATGTATTCCTTCCCTCTGCTAACAAAATAGCACTTTCATTAGAACACAAGAATAAAGAGTAATTTTAATGCAGTATGATTACAGCTAATATTACCACAAACACCTAGACATGTGAGTTGGTGAACATGAGACAGCAAGAAAGGGCAGAGTCAACCCGGAATATTCCAGCAAGTTCCCAAGAATGCCACAGACAGTAAAAGGTAGGAAACTGTAGTAGAGGTCAGTGGTCACCTACTCTCTCTAATGTAGCCCCTTCCAACACACCTCTCTTCCTCAATCATTTTTTTAGGAATAGCAGCTACGTTGCGTGTCGCAGACACTGAACAGCCATATAAAGTATGTTGTTTGTTTACTAGAATGTGTGTCCCATCACGCCTTGTTTGCTACTGTCACAATAGATATGTGATGAATGAATGCGTGGGGAGCATTATTACTGCTCAGCCTTGGTCTTCCCCCTCTCAGTATATCTCCCTCCCACTCCCCTCTCATCACACACACGCGTGCACACACACACACACACACACACACACACCACCTCTCACCCAATACCCTCTTCTCCTTGCAGGAGGAGGAAGATAGAGGGCAGGGCAGACACAGCAGAGGTCCCAGCAGCTGGCTGCCCAGAATATGAAAGCTTTGCTAACACAGGAGCAGCTCCTACTACTTCTTAAATGAACTCCTCTAGCTTTCTCCTCTGGTATTACCACAACTGCTTCCTTCATTGTGTAAGAAAAACACCCAAAACTCTGCATATGAGTGCGGAGGCAGCTTGGCCAACTACTCTATTAACAGAGAGCCCCTCACATCAGGATGACTCAGAGGAACCGAGATTCAGTATGAGCTGCAATACTCACCTCTTATAAGAAATGACAGTGACCGTGGTAATTAGAACAACAAACAGCAACAATAAAACTGCCCCTCCGGCCACAAAGAGAGTGTATTGGTTATCAGTTTTACCTAGGAAGAAAGAAATATAGTAGGAATTAGGAATTCATGTAAAGCCAGAAAAAATGGTGGAAAATGAGGAAAAGGAACATTAATCAAAGTAACTATTCGAAACAATCCAATGAAAAAACACGACGAGATGAAGGGAAAAAGACAATTTTTACTTTAGATTCTTCTAAATATTTGTGATCTCTCACAGATTTTTATGAGTTCCTTAATTCAGCTAAATTTAACCCCTTAAGAAGAACAAGAGTAAGCAGATGAAGGGAGGGGCGCCTTGGTGGCTCAGTCGGTTAAACATCCAGCTGGTGATTTCGGCTCAGGGCCATGAGATCGAGCCCCACGTCACACTCCACTCTGATCGTGAAGCCTGATTAAGATTCTCTCTCTCCCTCTTCCCCTCCCCCTCTCCCCACCTCTAAAAAAATAAATATGTAGGTGAAGGGGATTACGAGGTACAAACTTCCAGTTATAAAGGAAATGAGTCACAAGGATGAAAAGTACAGCATAGGGAATACAGTCAACAGTATTGTAATAGCCTTCTGTGGTGACAGATGGTAACGAGACTTCTCGTGGTGACCTTCCATAATGGATGTAATTGTTGAGTCACTGCACTGGACACCCGAAACTCATTTAATCTTGTAGGTTAACTAGACTTCAGTTAAAAATCCAAAAAACAACAAGAATAGAAAGAGTGTATGTTTGATATCCCTTGTGTGTATGTGATATCCCTTCACCTTAAGGAGCTCCCAATCACATACATAAAATCTTTTGTAGAAAAAAAAATAACTATCAAGAGTACACAAATGAAGGTTACTTTTTAAGTCTGATCTATGAAGCACATTCACACAATGGTATAATGTTAAAAGTAGAATTTAAGAAATATTTCCTACTCAATCCGAGTTAATGATAAAATGTAATCAGAAAAAATAGGTTACTCCGACGGAGTGCTTAAGCAGAAAGAACAACAGTCCGGAAATCGGCCATTTTCTCCCGGATCCTGTCACTCCTTAGCTATGTGACCTCCAGTCAGTTCCTTCCCCATCTCCGATGCCCTTCTTCATCTGTCAAGCTATGACAATGACAAAAGTTCTAATGACATCACAGAATTGTGGTTGAGACTCCCATGAGGTAATATTCAAATAAGTGATGAACTACTAGAGCAACATCCCCTCTGAAGCGAGAGGGGCCAGGCTGTGGCATATGAGCAGCACGACTTCCCTCTAACCTTGAGAGTAAAGCCCAATGCTTGTTCTGTAATTCCCATGTGGCCTGCAATCCTATGGCAACCTGAAAATCATGCTTTTCATTGGGTTCTCCCTGATCTTTCCCTCAGATTATTTCTTCCTTCTTGACCTATTATTTAGCTGCAATTTTTTTTCATGATAAGAACTCCAAGTCTACATCCACTCATCTTTTTGTACAAAGTGAAACTAAGTCAAGTAATAAACCTTATTTTCATTTTTTAAACTCATTGAACCTATTAGGTGAAGAAAAGTAGAAAAATGCATGAACTTTAGAGACTTTGTACATACAGTCTAAGAACGGCTTTTGTCCAAATATGATGGAGAAAGGGAAAGCTAAATTTATTCAGAACAAAAATACATTAAACCACTCCTACAAACGGAACAATGAAATTTTCTCCCTGCCAAATAAGAAATTAAGGTTTTTAAGTTCTTAGTACATTATAAAAAAGAACTGAACAAAATACCTGAAATTATTTTGCATTGTAACACAGGACTATAAAAGGACCACGCTTGCTGTACTGAAATAATTTGAATATCACAGATGCTAAGGTTAAATCAAACAGGCAATCATGGTGAGGAAATGAAAGGTATGATTAAAATATTCATCGACAGTATTCTGGGAAAATTGTTTAACCACTTTTAAAAATGTTATTTAGACCTTTGCTACAGTAAAAAAAAAAATCTGGGTAGACTAAAGTTTTAGATTCTTCATGCAAACTTTAGAAGAAAATATAAGTAAATATTGTTTAATCTCTGGAATGAGAAATGGCATAAAAATACATACATAGGGTTGACCAGGTGAGTTGAAAAACATCTATAGTTATAATGATCACAAGCAACATGTCAAGACAAAAAAAAAAATAGTATATTTAACACATCCTTTCTATTAAGAAAAAGTAGTTGGGGCATCTGGGTGGGGCCTGACTCTGGATTTCAGCTCAGGTCATGATCTCAGGGTTCTGAGATCCACCCCTCTCTCCTGCCCCCAGTGTGGAGCCTACTTGGGATTCTCTTTCTCCCACTCCCTCTGCCCCCTGCCACTAGCACAGATACTCTCTCTCTCTCTCTCTCTAAAAAAGAGAAGGCTACAGGAGGACAATATGAAAGATACAAATAACTTACTATGGAAAAGCACATGAAGAACGAGTTTGTGTAAGAGGCAGGTGGGGTCCGACAGAGCATCTCGAGCTCTCTCTGGAGGAGTAGAAACTACCCCAGCTGCATCTGGAAAGAATTCGGTCTCTGTGTGACAACTCTTTCCCCAGGTGCTTACACATTCGATGAACTACTTTATCCTAAAGAAGTGCTCAGAAATGTGAACATAGGGTTCTGTAAAACACTTAGAACAACAAAAAGAAAATCCTCATCTCCCTCCAGTAGAAGAGCAAGACGGCCCAGCTGTCATTCTCAAACTCACTTTGCATCCGCATCACCTGCGGGCTTGCGAAGCCACAGATTTCAGGGCACCCCCTCTGAACCTCTGATCCAGAAGGTCCCAGTGGGTCTGCATTTGCAGCTCCCGGGCACCATCTATGTTGCTGACCTGAGGCCCGTTCCTTGAAAACCTTGGCTATAGACACTTGGGTGTTGTGTGTAGGGAATTCCAACGACATGGAAGACTCCTGACTACAGACTACAAAGTTAAGTAAAACTTCAGAACCAGCACTGGCAATTGCACATGCTGTAATATCTCCATCAAGTATAGGACTTATGGGAAAAGAGTCTGCAAGGGGACAAATGCCAAAATGTTAAAGTGATGATCTCTGGAGAGTGGTACTAAAAGCAATTCTTTCTTTTGGCTTTTTGGTATTTTCCAAACTTTCTAAAGGATTTATTGTTCTTTTGTTAATTAGAAAAAAAAAAAACATAGCATAAAAGCATAAGGGTCTGCATGCTTAAAACAAAATAACGTGACAAATTTTAGTGGTGATACTTAAAGTACAAGACGTACATAATGTCTTTTGTAGAAGTATATTCAGAATCCTTAAGAATTAAGATGGCATTCCTTATTAAACTTCAATTAAACAGAATTAAGTAGAAACCACTGAAATGTACTGGTTATCTGTGTCACACTCTTCAATTAAAAATCCAAATTTTCTAAATGTATCCTTCAATGTCAAACATGTTACCTCCTTTTAACTTCTTCTAGTAATGTTGACCTGCTGACGTCCGATCTTCTTATATTCATACATCTTTTAACACATAGTATGTCAAGCCATACTCTAGCATTACAGATGAAATGGCATGTAAAAATGAATTGGGTTCCTGAAGAAAAACACCGACTAGAGCAAAACTGCTTCTCTACTCACAATGCTGCGGACACTCACTTCCCCCGAGCTGGCCCAGACCCCACAGGGAAGGGCTCAGTCCCACAACATCGCTTCCCTCCTCCCACTTCAGATCCGATCACAAATCCAGGCCTCCCCGTTCCTGACGGACCAACCAGCAATACATCAAAGGTTCCCATGATCTCCTCAAGTTCGATAATTTGCTACAACAGCTCGCAGGACTCAGCCAAGCCCTTTACTTACTATCACTGGCTTATTGGAAAAGACCCAACCCTGGAACAGCCAATAAGGCAAGCTGATGAGGGCAGGGAGTAGGGATGGATCTGCCATGCTCTCTAGGGATGGGCCACGCTCCCAACACCTCGTGTGCTCCGCATCCCAGAAGCCCTCTGACCCTGTCATTTGGGGGGTTTCTGGAGGATCCATTACATAAGCACAACTAGTTAAGTCATTGACCACTGGTGACTAATTCAACCCCAGCCCCTCTTTCCTTTCTCGGCCCCCACGGGCTTAAAGACCAGCCCTCCCATCCCACGGCTGATTCCTCAGGCACACAGCCCCCATCCCGAAGCCCTCAAGGTGCTTCCAGCCACCAGCTGCCTCTTGAGCTTGCAAAAAGACCCTCATCGCTCTGGAGATTCCAAGGCTTCTAAAAGCTCTTCTGCCAGGAACTGGGGGCTAAGACCAAATATTGTAGCAAAAGATGCTTCTAGCACCCCTGTCACTTAGGAAATGAAGAGAGTTCAGGAGTTCTGTGAAAGGAACCAGGGGCGGAGATGGTATGTTTTAGTATAGCCCAGTGCCCCATAGATGGAGCTTACGTGGTTTTGGAAGGCCCCGGCCAATTTAAAAACACACACGGAATGAGCGTTTTCCCACAGGAAGTAAGGCTAAAAGCACGGGTGTTAGGTGGAGAGTCACTCCCACTCCAGAGACACTGCAATCTAGAACCTCCGGCCGACAGCCTAACCTGCTTTGTACTCCCTTCTCCGGCCCCATCGCCGCCGTCACAGGAATCGTCAGTCTCAGGAACCAGGCCGGTGTAGCCACAGCTCACTGGGCCCCACGTGGTTAAAAACAAAAAGGAAAAGCAAAGAGTGTGCCTGCTTCGGGAGCCCATCAATAGTTCCTAACACTCACTTTTGCCTAAATTCTGCTAATAGATCTTAGGTTGAGTAATGTCAGCCCTCAAGCCCCTCTCTTAAAGAAAGAATTATTGTGTGTTCTCAGCAGCCACTTTTTTGCTGATTTCTTTTTTTTTCATTTTCATCCCAATGCTGTCTTGATTCATAGGAGGACAAAAGTGTCGTGAACCATAAAGCCATTATTTTCCCTCCCATCAAAAAAGATAAATATAGTTAAAACAATTTAAAGCATGTCAGTGAGATATATAAATGAAGAATTTACTCCCAGACGGCCACCCTCCAGGCTACATTCCTGCCGGTGACAAGTATTTATGGCTGAGTTATAAACCTTT